GCAGTGGTGTGATCTCAGCTCACTGCAACTTCTGCCTCCTGAGTTAAAGCAATTCTCCTGCCTAAGCCTCCTGAGTAGCTGGGATTTTTGTATTTTTAGTAGAGCTGTTGGCCAATCTGGTCTTGAACTCCTGGCCTCAAATGATCCACCCACTTCAGCCTCCCAAAGTGCTAGGATTACAGGTGTGAGCCACCATGCCTAGACATTTCTTATATTTTAGAGATGCATTTTGAAGTATTTAGAGGTGATGTGTTTTATAATGTCTGTCCTTTATTTTAAAGCACTTTAGCATGCAGAAATAGATGAAACAAATATGGCAAAAATATCAATGTGTTAAATCTAGGAGACGAGTATATGGGCATTGACTGCACCAGTCTTTCAACTACTTTTTTAAAAACATGTTTAAAAATGTTCATAATACAAGGTTTAAAAAATTGAAAATGGTTTGGCTGAAGGGTCGCCAGGAAATGCTACTTCTCAGACAAGGAAGGGTAAGTTGGCCTTGACTTATGTTGAGAACCTGTGGCTCCTGGATTCTTCCTCATATGCCTTTTTTTCTTCCCTCTCCCTTCACCCTACGTCCTTTCCAGCCCTCTTTGATTCCATGCACAGCAGCCAGACCTCAGACAGCCCATTTTCCCCACCACGTACTCTTCATTCACCTCCCCTGCAACTCCAGCAGCGCTCTGAGAAACCCCCTTGGTGTAAGTAATCCTTTTGGAACTGCCTAGACAAAAGCCAAGAAGACTAGAGTGATTGGTGAATGAGGGGCCTGTTGCCTGAGGGAAAAGAAGCAGTCTCACTGCCATTTCCACCATGAAGGGAGAATCTGTGTATTCTCTTTCTTTACCTCTGTTCTCCATGTTCCTTCCATCTCATTGCAGAGAAGCTTTTCTCCAGTATTAGGAATAATTTTTTTAAATTTAATTTTTTTGGTAAATTATTTCTTCCTTGATGATTTAGAGGGACTATCTTCAAACAAGTACAAATATTTCATATGTAATACCTGTCCATTTTCTAACCAATTGAGCAATTTATTGCAATAAGCTACCTCACGTCTTTCAGCAAGAAATAAATTAAATTTGAATAGTAAATACAATACATAATGAATTGGGACACAATTAAAATTTGCTTTAAATATTTCTTTGGGGGAGAGGACACCACACTTCCACTCAATGAATAGAAACATTTTTACAGTCCAGAGGCCTTTTTTTTTTTTTTTTTTAACACCTATTATGCCACGAATTCTTAGGGAATAGGTTCCAGCAGCTCAGGCTCCTTCACATTGGTTCTCTCAAAGTGTGCTTCTCTGGGTGGAGCAGGCTGGTGCTTCAGTTGGCTTCTTTTTCTGATCATTTTCCTTCACGCATTTCAGGAAGCTATCTCAGCTCTTACAGTGCTTAACGTGTTCAATAAGCACATTAATTCTCTTGGGTAGAATCATGCCCTCAACTTGTTTGTTTACAACAGTGCCAACAGCATGCTGGGTAACATTGTAGACTCTTCAGTTTTGCCATGGTAACACTTGTGGGACATTCCTTTTTGAACAGTACCCATTCCTTTGATGTCTACAATATCACCTTTATTATTTTTTATTTTTTTATTTTTATTTTTATTTTTTACTTATAAAGATGGGGTTTCACCATGATGGCCAGGCTGGTCTTGAACTCCTGACCTCAGGTGATCCACCCACCTCGGCCTCCCAAAGTGCTAGGATTACAGGCGTGAGCCATAGTGCCCAGCCAATATCACCTTTCTTATAGATTTGCATATACGTGGCCAAAGGAACAACTCCATGTTTTCTAAAAGGCCTAGAGAACATATATCCGGTGCCTCTCCTCTTTCCCTTTGTGTTCGTCATTTTGGCAAATTATTGGAAGATGGCAGTTCTGGCCAAAAGGCAGGAATACTTTTTAATTTGGAGAGAAGTGTTTCCTCAAAGGGGCCTTTGGGGAAGAAAGGATGGAGACTTCATTCTCCTCTGATCCCTATTTGATCTTAACAGCTTTCTCCAGTAAAGATGACTAGCAGACAACCTAGATATTAGAAAAGCTGGGAGCAGGAGACTAGGATCTGCTACTTAATTCTCCATGATCCTTCTCCTGTTGGTCTGTTTTCAGTTTTTAGTTTAAGTTGAGGTGCTGCTTTTTCCTATCTATTGTTTATTATCTCTAATCTATCACTAGTTATTTTTGGTAACAGTGTGAACAGTGGAGCCACACAGAATTCTTGAATGAATGTAGGAAGGAGGAGCTACTGGTGGTAATTGGAGGTGGGGATATGGGCCAGAGGCACTGGTGAAGTATCATCCTGCCTCGGGGGAATAACTGAAATCAAACATGCCTTTCATTATTTTACTTGGATAGGACCCAAGCAAAGATTCTTACTTCATTCGGCATTGGACTTAACAGTTGTAGAATTTTGCCCTTTTTCCCCTATATAAGGAAAAAACTTTCTTCCCTGACACCAAGAATTCCTCTCCTGCATTTCAGAGAATCCTTCACTCACCTTGCCTTTGCCCTGTTTACCTCTTTCCTGGAGTGTTGATGAGTTCTGTGCCCTCGGAAATCTTACCCTTCTGTCTTTTCTGTTTCTGGTTGACCTTGTTGATTTGCCTGAATCAGACCACTAGCTGGATATTAAGGCTACTTCTTTACTTGGGTAAAGCTCAGCTTATATCTTTTTCTTTTTTTTCCATCTAGTATCAGATTTTTGACTCAGCATCAGGTGTTTAGCCTCACTGGTAAACATCTTCTGTAGGATCTATAAGTCTGTACCAGAAATAGGCTCCACATCTCTTAAAGCCTTGTTGGCTCAAAACCATATCTTGTCTCTCTCTGTTTTTTTTTTTTTTTTTTTTTTTTTTTTTTTTGAG